TGGGTAGTGCCGATGAACTAAAGTCAGGAGGTCCAGACCTTAATCCATGCTGAAGTGAAACTCTCCTATTCATGCACCCAGTGGCTGTATTTATTGAACTAAACCTTGATAAAGCTAACTTTGATCTATGTATACATATTACAGTTTTGGGTCGAGAGGGGTTTTTTGCTTGTTTGTTTTCCCCTTATGATTCTGTGCAGCCTCCCTTTCTTAAAAGGCTTCAGCTGAATAACTGCTCCAGTTTTAAAGAGAAGGTTTGGCAATGCTAGAAACTGAACTCCAGATTTTGTTTGCCCTAGATAGATTACTAAAAGGTATGTAAAGTGTAGGTATCTACATCTTATTTACTCTGTGATTCTGTTATTGTCTCTGGAAAGAAATAGGCAGTGGAAAAATATGAGTAATCTTAACTGCCTTAGATTCCTGATTTAAGGTAAACTGAAACATCCTCAGAAGGAGACAACTTTTCTAATACATCAATAGAGGGGTAGCTCATGCTGTGGTATAGTGTACCCATACAGCTATACAGCTCATGCTGTAGCTATAGCGTTACTTGGACTCAGTGTCTAGTTCACACCAGGGCCCTGGTACCCTCAATAACCTTATTGTGCCCAGATCACACCAAATAATTCACTCCAAGAGGAAATTCAGACACAACTGACAGGATAGATCAATTCAATATTTCCTTCAGGCTGCATGAGCCTTGGATTCAGCAGTATTCCAGCAGGAGTCATGATCTTAAACTCTGACTCACAGACTACAGTCCAAGTCTTCCCATTGAATATGAAGGAGTCTAGAGACACAGTGGATACATTTGTGTTAAATACTGATTATCTGTGAGAAAATCTGATTATCGGTTAGAAGTGTCTCTAGGTAAAATGGTGCCTCTAAGAAATCTACTCCATGCTCAGAACATCACAGTGATTCAAAATGTTTAATAGTCTGTAACAAAGAAATAAAAAATAGCTAAAATTCTGTCAGCTGAGTGCTTATCTATATGACCATGTTAAGTGTGGGTTTGAGTTTATAATTGCGACCACAGTTTCTGATATTCTGTGCTCTGTACTAGCAGATTGCCTTTTCAGATTTTGCAGTTAATGAAACACCTAGCTTTCCAGGGAGGAAACCTTAAGACACTTGTTGGAAGAACTTGCTCTGTGCATACTGTTGCCATGGGTAGAAGTGACACAAGAGTGTTTGAGGACTTCAGCACAATTTTAAGGACAGGTGTCAAGAACAGCTTCAAGCTAACCATACTGGGAAGCTAACACCAGAAATGTAAGGTGCTGGCTGTATTCCAGGTATTAGCAGAAAATCCGCTATGAGAAAAATGGTAATTGATACAATATCAATATACAATACAATACGAAGCATGACATGGGAAAGGACCCCAGAAAAATATCCAGTAGTTCTTTAGTTTTGCATTTGACATGAAGAGCCACAGAGACAGTTAGATGGATGGATTCCTCCAAAACTACCTACAAATTAGACATCTAAGTCTAATGTCTAATTAGACATCTAAGCAAACTACCCTAGGCTCCTCTACCATTCATGGACATGGATTACCACCCTCAGAAGATATTTATTCTATTTATCTTTCTCCAAATCATTCTCCAAAGGTGCCTATTTCTCTCATAGATTTTAAAGAGAGCCTGTAATGCATAGATCAAACTTGTGCGTTGGTTGTGGTTTAATGCAGCAGGCAGCTAAGCCCCATCACCCACTTCCTCACTCCCCATGCCAGTGGGATGGGGAAGAGAATCAGAAGTGGTAAAACTCGTGGGCTGAGATAAAGACAGTTTAATAGGTAAAGCAAAAGCTGCGTGCACAAGCAAAGCAAAATCAGAAATCCATTCACTGCTTCCTATTGGCAGGCAGCCAGCCACTTCCAGGAAAGCAGGGCTCCATTGCACATAAGTTACTTGGGAAGACAAACGCCATTACTCCAAGTGTCGTCCTCCCCTTCCTCCTTCTTTCCCCAGCTTTTATTGCTGAGCATGACATCATATTGTATGGAATATCCCTTTGGTCAGCTGGGGTCAGCTGTCCCAGCTGTGTCCCCTCCTAACTTCTTGTGCACCCTCAGCCTACTTGCTGGTGGCTTGATGTGAGAAAAAGACAAGACCTTCACACTGTGCAAGCACTGCTCAGCAATAAATAAAACATTCCTGTGTTATCAACACTGTTTTCATCACAAATCCAAAACATAGCCTCACACTAGCTGCTGTGAAGAAATTTTACTCTATCCCAGCCAAAATCAATGCAGTGTCAAGCCCACTTTTATTCTTATGGCAGTATATTGAAGCATATATACACCAAAGATCACCTAACCTATTTCTCCATTTATTTCAGTTTTTCATACATAAAGTGAAAACAGTAGCATCTCAGTACTCCTTAGTGAGTTTTCCATTGAAATACTAAATTTTGCAAGGTGTGTAGCTCCTCGGATACAATGATTTGGCTACCCATATTGACTGGTTTTAAAGCATTGATCTGAAGGTGTTGCTTTGAAATTATGTCAAGAAAATCCTTCAAATACAGTGTGAAGAGGATTATTGTCCAATTGTTATGGGTTTTTATATCCACTAACAAGCACACAGTTACGTATCCTGAAACAAATAATTACCTATTCAACAGTGGTCCCTAAGTTCTTACAGGAGAGAACACAGACAAGTATTATACAAACAAAAACTTTCTGAGAATGCAAGTTCTCTCTTGCATCTAAAATTTTATTTCTTGAAGTTTTCCTAATGAACACTTTTGTAAACGCAAGGTTAGGTGCCTTTGGAGTATTGTAAATAAATCACCTCCTACAAGTAATGTAGATAAGACTAGGAGTCCAGTCTTAGCTTTTGAGAACCTTACCAAGTCTCTTAAACTTATTGTCTGCTTCTTGGAGCCTATGAGAATGTATGCAAAAGTAAAATAGTTTGGTTGTAGAAGGTATTGATCTATCATGTGTCACAGAATTTGGGAAGCTTTTCTATTGTGAAGAGAAACAATTATTTCATGTAGATTTTTTTTAAAAACCACCCTCCAAAACAAAGAAAATTCAATATAGTTTACTGTAACCAATTCTGATGCTTTTATGCTGAAAAGAATGCAAGTTTTCTTGTTGAAAAATAACAGCATGTCCTAGGATGTCTGAGATACCCACACAGGAGTAAAGTAGGGATAAAAACCACACACACAGAAGCAGCATTACACTTTATAATTATTTGGGTTTTCTTCTTGGTTTCTATTCCTTTGCAAGCAAAGGCAAATGGCACAAGGGAAAAAATATCTCATTTGAGGTTCAGATGTCTGCTGTGAAGATCTAAGACTCTAGAAGCTGAATCCCTAGTGTATTTATGCACACCTATTAAAGCAACATGCTAAGGAGAATGCCCTCTCAACTAGCGAGGTGGAAGGCCAGTATTGATTGCCAAGAGACTACTGAAAAATCATTTGAGTAGAAAACCTGCTCAATGTTTTTGACAATGTGTTCAGGAAATCTGAATACCAAAAACCACACCTGGCTTTAATCATATTACAAGGTATGTGTCTTGTGGTTTGTGAAGTCTGAGCTTTGCTTTTCTAAGTTTAGTGACAGAAACTGGATTAAAAATAGTTTTGTCTTTATTTTGAATCTATAGGACTTGAACAGGGCTTATGAATACAGTTTGTTCTTCTGGAAGGTAAGTCCATAAACAAGAAGCCAGTATTTAATGGTTCTACGTTTGTCATCCTATACTTCCTGTTTGATCAACTAAGAGACAGACAATTCCAAAGACTTCTTCAGATCTCAGGTGAATCAAAAATCTTCCTGAAGTGCCCTGCTCACTGGCTATAAAAGCATCTCGAGCAGTTTCATTCTTACCTTAAGTTTCTGTCAGCCTGCTTAAAAAAAAAAAAGATGTTTACTCAAAGCAGTAGTAATTGGTATTTCAACAAAACTATTTTTAATAGGATATAGGATACCCTTCAATTGAAAAGATGTTTTATTTTTTATGAAATTATTTCTTAAGTTTTTATTGGCTACATTTAAATCATCAATGGTTGCACATAAAAATAGAATAAAAATAAAGATTTAAAAATAAGGACAATTAGGTCAGCCAAGATTACACATCCATCAAATGGTTGACCATACTGACATACAATTTTCACATTTTCCTTTATATTGTTGTGGATAAAGGTATAACTTTGTGCTTCTCATTTTCTTGCTAGCTTTATTCCTTTTGTAATGAAGACAGATACCCCTAAGGGATTGTGTTTCCCCTGTGTTTTAAACAGGTATGTTAGGGCTAGAAGAATCACATTGTCAATGCATCTATTTCTCTCTTTTGACAATAGATGAAGTTTTTACAGTTGAAGAAGCTATAGACAATAGGCTTAGACTGGATGCTTAACCTTGACTGTCTAAACCTAAGTTCTCTGTACACAAAAATCCAAAGGGAAATTAGCTCACATAAAGAAGTTTTGCCTTTTTTTTTTTTTTTTAATAATAGGTGCGGTTTTTTTACAATTTTCCACATTTTTGTCATGCATCTTGGCTCATATATTTTTTTAATTTTTTGCATCAACTGAAGAAACTTATTCATTTGTTCTTTTGTTGAGGAGGGAGCAGTCTTTTGTGAGTTAACTGCAATCTGAGGGTAAGATTTTTCTGCCCAGTTACATCTGAAATAGTTGTTTAGACTATAGAATGAAATGCCTGTTTCTTGATTGATTGTAGAGTAGACCCTTAAAATCAGTTGGATGAGCTGCATGCAGAATATTTCTTTACACTGAGGAGAATATAACAGGGTAATTGGTTCATCTGTAAATTAATATATCAGAAGAATCCTCAGACATGATAGATGAATCCATTTTCCATTGTTTTCCATCTCTCTCTATTTTTCATACTTCTTGTGTTTCATATATCTTATTGTTTATCTTATTCTTCTAATTGTTTCTCCAGGCAAAGTGTATTAAGTCCACTGCATCCTGATTTCTTATATGAACATCATCTGATAAGTAACATGGAAAACCACACCAAGGTAACTGAGTTCATTTTGGTTGGGTTCAAATCTCATCCAGGACTGCAACTCCTCCTCTCTGTTCTTTTCTCAACAATGTATGCTGTCACTGTGGTAGGAAATGCTTGCATGATCCTTATCATCAGAATGGACTCCAAGCTGCACACTCCCATGTACTTTTTCCTAGAGAACTTGTCCATCTTGGACATCTGCTATTCGTCTGTCATCACTCCCAAAGCAGCACTGACATTCTCACTGGGCAGAAGAATAATTTCCTACAATGGCTGTGCATCTCAGATGTTCTTCTTCTCTCTCTTTGGCACAACAGAAGCCTTCTTCCTTGCTGTGATGGCTTATGATCGTTTCATTGCCATCTGCAATCCACTCCTGTACCAAATCATTATGAATAAAAGACTTTGTGTTTTCATGGTGGTGGGCTCTTATCTGTCAGGCTGCATCAACTGCACCATACAGACAGGCTTTTATTCAGTTTGTCCTTTTGTGGGCCCAAAGAAATAAAACACTTCTTCTGTGATGTTCCTGCAGTGATGTATGCCTCCTGCTCAGACACACTTGTCAATGAAATAGTAATGCTGGCTGTGTGTGGATCAATTATTGTGGGCACTGCCTTGGTGGTTTTTATCTCCTATGGTTATATAATTATGACTATTGTCCAAATGCCTTCAGCTAAGAGCAGGCGCAAGGCCTTCTCCACTTGTTCTTCTCACATGCTGGCCGTCAGCTTGTTCTTTGGTACTGTTTTCTTCATGTATGCTGAGCCTGGGGCCACGTCTTCACCTGATAAAAGCAACACCATCTCTATCCTTTATACTATTGTTATTCCCATGCTAAACCCTTTCATCTACAGCCTCCAAAACAAGGAGGTAAAACGGTCTCTGAAAAAACAGTTAAAAAGGAAAGGCTTTTTTTAGTACCTTAACTGAGGATGAGAATGAACACAGTGTCCAATTCAGTACAGACAGATGTTTAGAATGTAAAACAAGGGATATCAGGGCTTGGTTTCAAGAGTCTTTTGTGATTGCAGATGGTCAGTATCATGGATGAAAGCAGGAGGTATAAAAGAAATCTGGGAGAATTAGATCAGATGAAGGTGTGAATGCATTTAAACGGATTTAAAGACTTACAATCCATCTGAGCTGTAATATAGCCCTTTTATAACCATTCAAAAGTCGCAAGTATTTTAAAGCCATAATTAATCCGTGTATTATACATCTAAAATAGGACATATACCTCGGACTCTGGCAGTGCCTTCTTTCTATGCATTAGAAGACAGCTAATTCAGGTGGATACAGTCTCACTGTAAACATCCAAAGACAAATTAGGTCAATCAAGAGTGAATTGAATGATTTATTTTTCTGGGACTCCTAATTTTTTCAAATATTTTTTTTCCCTCAAATTTGCTTTTAATCACTTCTCTTAGAAATGAGTGGAACCTGTGAAATTCAGGTTCAAGCACTGATGGGCAATTGAAATCTTGAAGTGCTCTCTAACAAAACAAAACAAAACAAAACAAAACAAAACTAAACTAAACTAAACTAAAGTTATATATATATGAATTCTGGTTTCATGTCTTTGTGTGCATGCTTGCATGAGTGTTTGTAACAGGATGGGAGCTACTTCTTTGTGTTAGATAAGCTTGTAATAACATATATTATGAAGATAATATGTGTAAGTTCAACTTTACAGCTGTAGTGGTTCAAAATTCTCATAAAAAATGCACATTTCAAAAAATACCAACTTGAAACTTTGCATCAAGTGTCCGAAGCATGACCCTTGAGTTGTCATGTAAACAATATCCTACCAGAAGACTGCTCAGTTCTCATTATAACATAAGATAAATGCCAGAGCTGACTAGAAATCATAAATTACCTTTCAGAGAAAGTAATTCTTTAAATTACTTGTTCACTTCCTACTAAAAAGAAATAATATCACTTTAGAATAAATTAATCACTATCCACAGTTACCTCTTTCTCTCTTTTGATATAAAAGGAATCTATACTATAAGCACAAATGCAGATGCCAAGATTCACATCCATACGGAACCATCCTAAACTGATGGAGAACATACTAGAGGAATATTCCTCTGTGTAGACCATGTACCACAGGTATTTCCATGAGTGTTTTCTACTGGCCAATACTGTAACTTCAGTGCCCACTAGTCTTCCAAAGGATCTAAACTAGTAAAAAACATCTGTAAACTGTGTAAGCTCTGCCCTCCCTGAGACAGAAACAGGGACAACTAATAGATCAAAACCAAGGTGAAGGGGACCCTGTGTCCTCCCCTTGCCAGGCAGAAGGCAGTAGCCTCAAAGGGAGAAGTGAATGGAAACAAGTCCATGCTCGGCATGGCAGGTGAACCTTCTCCTCCTTGCCCACCTCGCCTTCCCATGTACCCCTGTACAACAGGTACGAGGCTCTGGCTGTGGAAGGCCATTCAGTGGAGGATATGGATGATAGTCAAGCTACACCAGAGGTAGCACCTAGGCCAAAAAGGCCATGCCTTGTATCGTGACCATCCCACAAAGAAGAAAAGGTGGGTTATAGTTGTAGAGGACTCCCTTCTGAGGGGTACAGAGGGCCCGATATGCAGGGCAGACCCTCCTCTCAGAGACATCTGCTGCCTCCCTGGGGCCCATGTCAAGGACATCACTAGGAAACTCCCCAGCCTGGTAGCCCCTCTGACTATTACCCACTGCTGCTCCTCCATGTGGGTGGGGATGAAGCAGAGACACGTAATGCAAAAGCGATCAAAAGGGACTTCAGGCTCTTGGGACAGTCACTGAAGGATTCAGGAGCACAGGTAATATTCTCCTCCCTCCTTGCAGTTGAGGGCAGCAATGTTGGGTGGAACAAGCGGACACAGTCCATAAATGCATGGCTCTGT